AAGAAAACTACAGACCAATATCCCTAATGAATATAGATGCAAAAATTCAACAAAATCTTAGCTAACCGAATCCAGACACTTATCAAAAAATAATCCACCACGACCAAGGGCTTCATCCCAGGGATGCAGGGATGGTTCAACATACGTAAATCTATAAATGCAATTCACCACATAAACAGAAGCAAAACAAAGACCACATGATTCTTTCAATAGATGCAGAAAAAGCTTTTGACAAAATTCAACACCCTTTCATGATACGAACACTTAAGAAAATAGGCATAGAAGGGACATACCTAAAATGATACAAGCCATATATGACAGACCCATAGCCAACATCATACTGAATGGGAAAGATGAAATCATTCCCACTTAGAACTGGAACCAGACAACGGCTGCCCACTATCTCACTTCTGTCAACATAGTGCTGGAAGTCTTGGCTACAGCAATCAGACAGGGAAAATGGAATCAAAAGGTATCAAATAGGGGCAGAAGAGATCAAACTTTCACTTTGCTGATGATATGATATTGTATCTAGAAAACCCCAAGAATTCAACCAAGAAACTCCTGGAACTGATCAATGAATTTAGTAAAGTCTCAGGATACAAAATCAATACACAGAAATCAGAGGCATTCATATACGCCAACAACAATCTAATTGAAAACCAAATCAAAGACTCAATTCCCTTCACAATAGCAACAAAGAAATTAAAGTACCTAGGAATATATTTAACCAAAGAGGTAAAAGACCTCTACAGGGAGAACTATGAAACACTGAGGAAGGAAATAGCAGAGGATGTAACAGATGGAAATCCATACCATGCTCGTGGATCGGCAGACTCAATATCATCAAAATGTCTATACTACCCAACTGATCTACAGATTCAATGCAATACCTATTAAAATCCCATCGCATTCTTCACAGATATTAGAAAAAATAATTACGCTTCGTATGGAACCAAAGAAGACCCGAATATCAAGAGCAATTCTAGGCAACAAAACAAAATGGGAGGCATAATATGCCAGATATCAAACTATACTACAAAGCCGTAGTAATTAAAACAATATGGTATGGACAAAACAGGAATATTGACCAGTGGAACAGATGTGAGAATCCTGATATAAAACCATCCTCATATAGCCATCTCATCTTTGACAAAGCAGACAAAAACATACGCTGGGGAAAAGAATCCCTCTTCAATAAATGGTGCTGGGAAAACTGGATAGCCACCTGTAGAAGGCTAAAACAGGACCCACACCCTTTCACCTCTCACAAAAAACCAACTCACCCTGGATAACAGACTTAAACCTAAGATATGAAACTATTAGAACTCTAGAGGAAAAAGTTGGAAACACTCTCCTTAGACATCGGCCTGGCAAAGAGTTATGAAGGAAGTCCCCAAAGCAATCACAAGCAGCAACAAAAATAAATAAAGGGACATATCAAGCTACCAAAGCTTCTGCACAGCCAAAGAAATAGTCACTGAAAGTAAACAGACAACCTACAGAATGGGAGAAATTTGCATTCTATGCATCCGATAAGGGACTGAAACTAGAATATACTTAGAACTCACGAAAATAGGAAGAAAAATCAAATAACCCATTAAAAAGTGGCAAAAGACTTGAACAGAAATTTTTCTAAAGAAGACAGAAAGAATGGCCAACAAACATATGAAGAAATGCTCAACATCTCTAATCATCAGGAAATGCAAATCAAACCACAATGAATATCACTTAACCCCAGTGAGAATGGCCTTTATCAAAAAATCTCAAACACATAAATGCTGCGTGGGCGAGAGAGACATCTGACATGCTGGTGGGACTGCAAACTTATGTTCAACAACCTCTGTGGAAGCAATATGGAGATACTTACACGATACAACTGAATCTACCATTTGATCCTGCATCCCATTGCTGGGCATCTACCAAATGATCCAGTGACACTTTACAAAAAAGACACCTGCACTCGAATGTTTATAGCAGCACAATTCATAATGCAAGCTGTGGAAACAGCCAAGTGCCCATCAATCCAAGAATGGATAATAAAATGTGGTAATGTATACCATGGAGTACTATTCAGCTCTAAGAAACAATGGTGATATAAGCACATCTATATATTTTCCTGGTTAGAGCTGGAACCATACTACTAAGTGAAGTATCCCAAGAATGGAAAAACAAGCACCAGATAATATTCCCAGCAAACTGGTATAACTGACTAGCCACCTAAGTGGACACCAAGTAGTACTACAGTATAGGTATTGGGCAGGTGGGAGGGGGGGAGGTGCGGAGGGGTGGGTATATACATACATAATGAGTGAGACGTGGCACCAGCTGGGGATGGTCATGATGGAGACTCAGACTTTTGGGGGGAGAGGGGGAAATGGGCATTTATTGAAACCTTAAAATCTGTACCCCCATAATATGCCAAAATAAAAAAAAAAAATTAAAAAAAAAAAAGAAATGCTTGTGGTGGTTTATTACTAGCATTATCTCAATGAAAGAAAAAATGAGGAATGACAATTGTTTGGTATGTTTATATTTTTTTGGAATCTGAATATTCATTTTTAAAAGCAAGTGAGTATCTCCTTTATAAGCCCTTCATTTGTTCTACCTTTAATAAAATAAAACTCATTTACCACCATACAATTATTCCAAATCATATCATTTTGAAAGATAAGAAATATATTTTGAATGATCACAGAATGTTCATGTTGTAAACTACTTAGTTTATAGTAAACATCAGTAAGTAAATAAATATCACATAATAAATATAACACCTTGGAACTTTCTTAATTTACATTAAATGTACTTGTTAAATACATAGAAAACAAAAGAATAAAATCAAAATATGGGAGTTGTTTAGCATATAAGTTAATTATCAGGTTTGGTGTATGTATAGAATATAAGCTAAATAACAGTGGCTTCCATTTTCTGTGACAGGTAGCTCGACAGGCATTGTATATAGATTTCCTTTTTGATGTTGAGTTTTTTTTATTTAGTATGAAAGATATTATAACATTGGAATTTATTTTTTTAATTTCAGAATCTTGGGGGGTATAAACGTTTTGGTTACATAAATTCTTTTTGTTTGAGTCAAAGTTGTATGTGTGCCTATCCCCCAGTTAGTGTGCATTGTACTCTTTCAGTGTGAATTTACCTATCCCATTTCCTCCCCTCCCACCTGCTTGATTTCCAATTAATGTTATTTCCATATGTTCACATAAGTGTTGATCAATTAGTTCCAGTTTAATGGTGAGTACATGTGGTGTTTGTTTTTCCATTCCTCTGATACTTCACTTAGAAGAATGCTCTCCATTTCCATCCAGGTTAATACAATAGATATTAGCTCACCAATTTTTTATGGCTGAGTAGCACTCTATGGTATACATGTACCACATTCTATCAATTTATTCATGTATTGATGGGCACTTTGGTTGTTTCCACATCTTTGCAATTGTGAATTATGCTGCTATAAACATTCGAGTACAGGTGTCTTTTTTATAGAATGTCTTTTTTCCCCTTGGGTAAATACTCAAATACTCAGTAGTGGCATCGCTGGATTAAATGGTAGTTCTACTTTTAGTTCTTTGAGATATCTTCATACTTTTTTGTGTATATTTCTAATATTCTCACAAGCTTTGCAGAGTAGACATTATTTCCATTTTAGAATTTAAGATACTAAAGCTGGAGGAAGTATGAAGTGATATCTCCCTGATAATACAAAGCCACTAAGCCAGGGTTTCAATAAAATGACTTGTCTGACACAATAACTACAGTGCCACTCACACAGTGTTCTAAGGCCATTCCTCTTTGCCCACATAGTCATTAAAATGTTTGCTGAGTTGAATTTAGAGTAGACAGATACTTGATTTTCCAGGAGATAAGTTAGTAAAAGTAGCTACTTTACCTCTTTTACTACCTTTCCCCTATGGTAAGAGTAAAATTATTCCCTCAAAGAGCATCAACGTGCTCAATTTTGCTTGGATTTTGTGTTCAATTTGTTTGTTTTCAAGAAAAATAGGAAACTTGCCAGATTCTCAGCATCCTTACCTTAGTGGCTCCTGCATTGGCCAACTTCTTAATCCAGACATTCTGCCTAATATAAATAGTTCTGCAATTCAGCATGGAATAATGATTTTCCAGGAGCAATTCCTTTAGACAATTATAAACATTTTCTTCATGATTTTTGTCTCATATGCTGCCATATGGCAACAAGAATCTAACCAGCATAGCATATGGAAAACTTGCCATGCATGGGAAAACATTAAAGAAAAAAATGTAGAAACAAGAAATGCTGCCATTGCTCATACCACTGCATAAGAAAATTGCTTGCCACCGGTGCCAAAGCATAAGCAGTTTAACATATCTCTTATGTGTGATTTTTATTTTATGCTTAAGTCTGGGTTACCAAGCAATACCCTGTGAATGTTGGTCCCCATTTGGATGCTAGTTGCATTAAAATGGTTTTCTACTTAATTAGGGGCCTAACATGGCCAATCCAGAGTGTTATTTCCCTCCCACCTTGAGCAAACTCTTCTATGCTTAATCTTTGTTTATATCACCATTGAATTAGTTTCTCAGAGTAGCTATTTCCAAACCATTCTAAATTACCTCTTCTCCCTCACCTCCCATGTCTGATCAGACAAAAAAATTTCATCAATTTTACTTAAGAAATACCTTTGAATCTAACTTATCTTTTCCATCTTCATTGCCCTTACATTCAAACACTTATTCTTGGAAAATTGCAATAACTGCCACTGTTTTCTCCCACTTATATATCTAGTCTTTCCTCCTACCAATCCATCTTCTGGTTGCTGCTAAAGTTAACATTTTCGAGCACAATTCAGATCAAGTCACTTTGTCTTTCAAAACATCTGTTGGTTTGGGTCTAAAGAATTAGACCCAAACTTCTTAGCATAACCACTCAGAGGCTTCATCATCTGATACTGATGAATCTTGTTTTCACAGCAACTAGCCTCCCAACACACCATTTTTTTTCTTACCTTTTCCTCAAGCACATCAGACTCTTTTATATCTCCACTTCTCTTGTAAAGTAATCCTCTTGTGTTCTGGAATGTTCTTCCTCCAGGATCTTTACCTTGCAAATTCCAACATATGTGTGAAACATCTCCTCAAAGGATGGTTAGTTGCTTCTTCCATGCTTCCATAGCTTTCAGAGTATACTGTCAGTTATTTGTTTCTGAGTCACTCTCTCTGTAAACAAGTCCAGACAGAGACAAGTTTTATGATGACACTTAAAAGGCACTTAGTAAATAAACACTGAATAAGTGAATTAATCAATCAATCAATCAATAGTTCAATACATCTTTTTTAAGAGAATGTGATTCTCAACACATATAGCATTATTTAAAGTAGACTTTGGAAACTATAGAAAGAATTGGTTTAAGAAGAAAGCAACAGATGCCCCACCCACTACTACCAATACCTGAGTGCCACCAGGGGCCTGGGGATCAATCTTCACTGCCCACCACTGCCTGCACACACCATTTGGGGCATTGTCACCATTGGTGCCTGAGGACCATCCCATGTGGTATCCCCACCTCCACCAAAGTCTCACCACAGCCTCCACTAACAAGTGCAGTCTAAGCCACTGAGGAACTTCAATGATACCACTAACACTGATTACAGCTGAAAAAATCATATGGAGACTACACTACTGTGCCCACATGGAATCAAAACTAAAGTACCCCATACAACCAATACTACAGATACATCTATAGAAAAAAATCCTTCCCTACAAAAGCCAATCCATAAAATTGGAAGAAGTGACTATTATACCAAATGTGCAAATATTAATATCAAAGTAAGGACACATGGCACATGATAAAGGAAAAAACATTATACCTTCAAATCAAAACAGTAATTCTCCAATAACAGATGATAAAAAAGAAAATTTATTAAATACTTGAAAAATAATTCAAAACAATTATTTAAAGAAACTCAGTGAAATAGTAGAGAATACATATAAAAATGTAAAGAAATCAGGAAAACAATTATCTGAATGATAAATTTAACAAAGACAAAAATATCATAAAAGGAAACCAAACTGAAATTCTAGAAATGAAGAATTCAATGAGCAAGATACCAAATACAAGTGAGAGCTTCAATAATAGACTAAATAAAGCAGAAACAAGAATTTATAAACTTGAAGACATGATTTTGAGATAAGCTAGTCAGATAAAAAAGGAAAAAGAATAAAAAAAGAATTAAATCTTGTGTGACATATGGGACACCATAAAGTGATCAAATTTTTGAATTCTGGAAGTTTCAGAAGAAGAGATGCATAAAGTTATTCAAAACCTTATATAAGAAAATAATAGCTAAAAACTTCACAAGTCTTACAAGAAACAAAGACATCCACATACAGGAAGGTTGAGGATTGCTACATAGATGCAACCTAAAAAAGTTCTCCTCCAAGGCACATTACAGTCAAACTATCAAAAGTCAAAGACAAAGAGGTAATTTTAAAAACATCAAGAGAAAAAAATCAAATCACATATAAGAGGATCTCCATTAGATGAATAGCAAATTTCTCAGCAAATCTTACAAGACAGGAGAGGATGGGATGTTGTGTTCAAAGTACTGAAAGCAAAAAAATTTCAGTAAAGAATGTGATAGCCTGCAAAGCTATCCTTCAAAAATGAAGTTAAATATTTCCCAGATAAGCAAAAGTTGATGTAATTCATCACCACTAACTTAGCCCTACAAGAAATGCTTTAGGGACTCATCAATCTGAAAGTGAAAAGACAATATATACCATCATAAAGACACAAAATTATAAAACTCACTAGTAAAGAAAATACACAAAGAAAGATGAAGGGCAAATGACAGCACTACAGAAAACTACCAAACCACAATGATCAATGATAAGAGAGGAAAAGAGCAAAGGATATGCAAAACAACTGCAAAACAATTAACAAAATGACAAGGATAACTTCATATCTATCAATAATAACCTAGAAAGCAAATAAATTAAAATCCCCACTAAAAAGGTATCAATTGTTTGAATGGATAGAAAACATGACCCAACTACTGCCTAGAAGAAATTCACTTCATCTGTAAAGACACATATGGACTAAAGGTAAAGAGATGGAATAAGATATAACACACAAATGGAAACTGAAACCAAGCAGGATTAGCTATACATATATAATATAAAACAGATTTTAAGTCAAAAACTATAAAATTAGATAATGAAGGTCATTGTATAATGAGAAATGGATCAATTCAGCCAGAGGATATAACAATTATAAATACATATGCACCCAACACCAGAGCACCCAGGTATATAAAGAAAATATTATTATATCTAAAGGAGAGTTAGACTCCAATACAGTAATATTGGGGACTTCAATACTCAATTCTCAGTTTTGGATAGATCATCTACATAGAAAATCAACAAAGAAATATAGGATCTAAACTACATTTCAGACCAAATGGACCTACCAAATATTTATAGAACATTTTGTCCAACAACTACAGAATTGACATTCTTCTCCTCAGAACATGAAACATCCATGATAAACCATATCTAAGGCCACAGAACAAGTCTGAATAAATTCAAAAAATTAAAAATTATATCAAGTATCTTTTCTGACCTCATTGGAATAAAACCAAAAAGCAATGGGAATTAAACAACATACTTCTGAAAAACCATGTGTCAATGAAGAAATTAAGAAGGAAATAAAGACAATTTCTTGACACAAATGAACATAGAAACACAATATATCAAAACCTATGAAATAGAGAAAAAGCAGTACTAAAAGAGAAGTTTATAGTAATAAATGTCTACATCAAAAAAATGTAGAAAGACTTCAAATAAACAATCTAACTATGCACCTCAAGGAACTAAAAATGCAAGGAAAAAAACTAGTATGAGGAAAGAAATAGTAAACAAGAGAGCAAAACCAAATTAAATTGAGACTAAAAAATGCAAAGAATAAGTAAAACTAAGTTTTTATGAAAAGATAAAAAATTGATAACCCACTTGCTAGATCAACCAAGAATAAAAGAAGAGAAACAAAAGTAGAAACAAAAAAGAACATTACAACTGATACCACAGAAATACTAAGGATCATTAAAGACTATTTAAAGACTATTCATTCCCAATGAAGAATAATTGAAAACTGGATGGCTTTACTGTTGTATTCTACTAAACTTATAATTATGAAATAACATTAATTCTTTTCAAAATATTGTCTTTTTAAAATTTTCAGAATAATGCAGGGGTACAAATGTTTTAGTTACATGGATTGCTGTTGTACTGCTTCAGTCAAAGTTATAAGTATACCCATCACATTGTATCTGTTATGTAGGATTTCACCCATCCAATCCTCCCTCCTCCCACCTGCTTGATTTCCACTGCATTTTATTTCTATCTATGCACATGATTACTAATCAGTTAGTTTCAATTTAATAATGAGTACATGTAATGTTTGTTTTTCTATTCTTACCATATTTCACTTAGGAGAATGATCTCCAGTTCCATCCAGGTTGTTACAAAAGATATTATTTCATTTTTTATGGCTGAATAGTACTTCATGGTGTACATATATCTAGTTTCATTAATCCACTCGTGAATTGATCAGCACTTGGGTTGATTCCACATCTTTGTGATTGTGAATCGTACTGCAATAAATATTCTGGTACAAATGTCTTTTTGATAAAATGACTCTTTTTTCATTTGGGTAAATCTCAGTAGTGGAATTGCTGGATCAAATGGTAAGTGAACTGTTAGTTCTTTGAGGAATCCCCATACTATTTTCCATAGAGGTTATACTAGTTTACAATCCCACCAACAGCTTGGAAGTATTCCTTTCTCTCCATATCCACTCCTAGTATCTATTGTTTGGAGACTTTTTGATAAAAGCCATTCTTATTAAGATTATGTGATATCTCATTATGGTTTTGATTTGCATTTCCCTGATGACTAGCGACATCGAACTTTTTTTAATACATTTATTGGGGAAAAAAAGAAAAAAAATTACATTTATTGGCCATTAGTCTATCTTCTTTTAAAAACCTTCTGTTCATGTTTGTTGCCCCTTTTTTAATTGGATTGATTTTTTTTGTTGCTGATTTTCTTGAGTTTTTTGTAGATTCTGGTTATTAGCCATTTATCAGATGTATACCATGTGAATATTTGCTCCTATTCTGTAGGTTGTCTATATGCTCTGTTGATTGTTTACTTGGCTGTGCAAAAACTTTAATTTAATCAAGTCTCATTTATTTATTTATTTACTTATTTTTGTTGTTGCTATGATTGCCTTTGGGGTCTTCTCCATAAAGTCTTTGCCTACGCCAATATCTAGAAGTGTTATTTCAACATTTTCTTCTAGATTCTTATGGTTTCATGTCTTAGGTTTAAGTCTTTTATCCATCTTGAATTAATTTTTGCAAGTGGTGAGATATATGGATCCTGTTTCAATCTTCTACATGTTGCTATCCAATTTTCCCAGCACCATTTATTGAATAGATATTTTCCCAGTATATATTGCTGTCTGCTTTGTCAAAAATCAGATGGCAATATGTGGATGGTTTTATATCTGGGTTTTCCATTCTGTTCCCTTGATTTATCTCTCTATTTTTGCACAATTGGCATGCTGTCTTATTTACTATAGCCTTGTAGTATACCTTAAAGTCTGGTAAAGTGATGTCTCCAGATTTTTTTCCTTTTCCTTAAGGTTGCTTTGTCTATTAAGACTCTTTTTTTAGTTCCAGACAAAGCATAGAATTATTTTTCTAGATCTGTGAATAATGATGGTGGTATTTTGATGGAGATTGCACTGAATCTTTAAATAGCTTTGGGTAGTATGGACATTTAACAATGTTGATTCTGCCAATCCATGAACATCATATGTTTTTTCATTCATTTATATCATCTGCAACTTCCTTCCTTAAGATATTCTTTAAAAATTGCTCATGGATCAGAAAAATTAATATTTTTTTCAAAATACACGTTAACTTTATTTCAGCAATTGCAGAAGCCACAGACAAAAATGAGTGTTAACATAGATGCTGATGAACAATTAACAATAGATAGATCTAATGTGTTAGACAATAGATAGACCTGTGTTTTCCAATACCATGGTCACTAGCCACACATGGCTACTGAGGACTTAAAATATGGCTAGTCCAAGTTGACATATATTCTACATTTAAAATACATACCAGACTTCAAATACTCAGTACAC